ATATATATATATATCCAAAAATCTTCTTTTCATTCTGCCTTATCCCTCTCCCTACCATTGGGATGCAAAGATTCTTGGTCTTCTGTTGCTGGGAACAGATTCTGAACCTAAGTTCACAGCAGGCTCAGGATGCCTCTATCATAAATGTTTTCCTGCAGCCTCCACTGAGGTGCTTTATCTCCCTAGCCTTCTGTTTCCTCCTTCTTCAACAAAGCCAAGCAAAATATGAGAGTTTTAGGTTAGGAGGCTATAAAGAAAGCATATGCTAGAAAAAGGATATGGGCATCTCCAAGTAAAGAGTTATACTTAGGAGAGGCCTACTAGTGATTTCAGGAATGTTGAGTTAGTCGCCTCAGGGAGAATAAGAGGGGACCCCTAAATCTAGAATTTCTCTTCCCCCTTCCTCTTCTGGTATTGTTGTAAGGTGGTAATTGGAGGCATTAGCTTCTCATTTAAATATAAACACTGTATTTTAATAAATACCTTAAACAGCAGGTATACTACTGGTTAAGAAAAGGATGGGCAAAGGACTGTACTAAAGTGTCATTGTGTTAGATGTGCAGTCAAAGAGAGAAAGGGGATGGGCAAATACTTCATACCTGACCTCATTAGACATTTATTCTCAAATATGGCAGCTTTGAGCAAGCATTGGTAGGCACCTCTTTCTCCTTAGATTCAGTTGCAGCCAATAAACATTTTTGGGGAAGGATAAGAATAGAAATATATAGTTCTTAAATTTGTGCCGTGTATGCTCCAGTTAGGTCAAATAGTAAGTGGTGTGGAAATTGCATGATTTAAGATGCATGACACAGAACACTTATTTTCCTGTTCCCATCCATCACCACTAGCCTAGAACTAGCCAGAAGAGAGCTTCTGTTCATACTTGAATGAGTCTCTAGGCAAACATAAATCAAGTAATTAAGTAGAAGATTCAATCTACTGATAACAGCAATCAAAGAGTACCTAAATGAACAATAGAGCCACAGTACAGTAGAACACTGCATATTTTGTAGTCACTGAGTGTTCCACAAGAGGGTAGCATTAGAATATAAAACAGTATGAAAAAGGGTCTTGGATGTGTGCAGACTCTCCCTCTCATATGAAATAATAGAGAAAATAGAGAAAGAAAGAAAAAATCCAGATTAAAATATAACCTGGAAGTTCTTAATATAAGATTGTTGACAATATAAGATTATTATCTATGAAGTATTAACCATATATATGTCCATAACCAATTACTGTCCGGCTTTTCATAAATTGTTTTCATACTGCATATTTCAGAGAACTAGAATCCTCTCCCTTTAATGAGGAAAACATTCAGAGGTGGGCAATCTCCATCCACTGATAAGACTGACTAACTTATATATTGAAGGACATGTTTGTGAAACATTATTTGGGACAGCATATGCTAAGAGAACTTAATTATTTGTTGAGTTATGTGAGCATCAAGAAATGTGGAATTGGTAGTCCCCAGGTGGCGTTGGACTTCCTATCAATCATCTTTGACCCGCTGGCCATGATTATCTGTGGTGGCTGGGAGAATCCAACAACATCCAAAAGAGAATGGGACCACAAAGATTCAGGAAGGGTATAGTGCAATCTTCTCCCATCTCTTGCCTTCAAATGTGTTCAGACTGCTATACCCCCCCCCCCAAAATCAAACAGATTTGTAACCATCAGATTAAAATAAACTAATACACTGACTTCTTGATCTTCAATAAGGATATTTCTTTAGAATACTAAATTCTTCAGATGGATGGGCAACAATTAATGAGATGCAAAAGGAAAAGACAAACATTATTTATTCGCAAGAGAACAGCCAAGAAAGGTTGAAGCATATCTACTGATTCCAAATAGGTTTCTGAGCTATGTTTTAAAAGGAAACCACATCAAAATGTGGACAGGGGCATTAGGACTATGAGCTGAAACATCTGCTTTTTAGATCCATGGTCCTCCTGGCTGGTTAAAGCAGCTTGGGAAGTTCTAATGGTGGTTAATTCTTCCTTCAGTGAGACGAGAATTGTTCCTTTATATCATAAGAAGGTCTGGGTTCATCACACTTCTTATTTTATCCCAGTGCTCAGAGGCTGTGAGGGTCTACACGAGGAAAAACAGGTTTCAGCTTACTCTGGCAAGACTGAGTGGCATTTTGGTTTGGGGCCTTCTGGTTTTAAGACTATGCCATCTTCAATGTTGGAATGGATGGCACTTTGCCAGATAAACCCAGTTTGCAACCTGGAGAGCCTCCTAGTGATGACTCCTATTGAAAGAGCAGAGGGTAATCATGTCTTGGAGAGCCTTTGCACAGTTTTGTGTTGTGTGCCTGTTGTTCCCATTCCTGTACCAGGGGGTCCTGTTCACTGTCATTCATGTCTAGTTGTCTCCCAATTGGACTACTGTATTGTGGTCGACCTGTGGCTACCCTTGAACCGTATCCGGACGCTTCAGCTGATGCAAAATGTGAGGCAATTATATGTGCCCCTGGAATAAATCATTTTATACCTCTGCTCTGAGAACTGCACATTGCAAATTTCAGGGTCCAATTCAAAGGTGCCGTTTTTAACCTTTAAAGATCTTTAAAACACTCCATGAGGGCCAGATTACCTAAGGGACAACCTCACCTGTCCCCAGGAGAATGCATGCTGCAATTCTCAGGTAGGCATATCCCAGGAAGTGGTCTTCTCTGCCATTGCATCCATCTTATGGAATCTTCTCCCCTGGAAATGAGATTAGCTCCATCTCTGTTAACACCAAGTCCCTCAAGGCCTGGGTATGTCTTCAGGCTAGCGGTCAATAAGACTTTTAGATGGGTCCCTTGCTCTGGTTAGCATTGTTGTCTCTTTTATATTTTTTAATAGTGAATGTTTTTTTATTTATTTAATGTTTTTTAATTATGCATCTCACTTTTTTGTGAGATGGGTTGCCATGCAGATTACATACATACATACATACATACATAATATAACTGTGTCCAGTATATTCAAGTTTAATACTTGTATATCAAAACATTATTTTCATCACAGGATTGTTCACTTGAAAATTCAAGCAGCCCGGATAGTATTAAGAACTTTAACTCACTGGAAAGCACACATTACTGTAAGTACATATAAATCTTTGAGTTTTTTCTGAAGTGATACCAATTTTAAAAATGGGTGTCATGAGTAGATATTTCAGTGCAACTTCATAATGCTATTTTAGAGCTCATTAAAATCTCAGTTTAACATACTATGTAAAAATGTACTACGTA